AAGCAGTGGTATCAACGCAGAGTACTTATGCTCGCTCGCACACTGGATGAAGTCCAACTTCAAGAATAAGCTGGATTTTGCAAAGGATTCAGCTGCTTGGATCACATCCAGACGGTTTCGAGGGTCATAGACGTCTGCCGGGCAACTGCCTCTCGTCCTAGCATTCGTCGACTACAGAAATTTTCGAGAGCGTCGAAACAAACGACATTCTATTAGCGCAAGTCGATCAACAAGTGGGACCCAGCTTACGTGAGAACTAGCCGACCGACTGCTGTAAGGACTGTACAACGACGATGCAGCTGTTCCATCGCCCCTTATCCCAAATGGAAAGGGGCACGACAAGGCGACACAATCTCGCCGAAGCTGTTCATCGCTGCCTTGCAGTGAGTGACGAAGTCATAGACTGGGACGAGAGAGGCGTACGAGTTGATGGGAGATTCCTTCGAACCATCGTTTTGCGGAAGACATCGTTCTGTTCTCGAGCAATGTCATTGAAGCTGAGACAATGCTGAAGGAACTAAACGAAGTAGGGAAGAAGATCGGATTGCGAATAAATTGCAAGAAGACTCAGTTCATGAAGAACGCCCTTTGCGAAGATGCAGAAACGGAATTGGAAGGCGTCCCTATCATAGAGACGTCTTCTCGCTGCATCTCGGACGTTCGATGAACATGAAGAACGACTTGAGGGAAGAACTTAACAGGAGAAGAAGAGCAGCCTGGGCCGTCTTCGGGCCTCTAAAGGAAGTCACCAAACAATTGTCCGACTCAGAGCTTCGTGCCCACCTGTCCGACTCAACCGTTCTCCCGGCGCTCTGTTACGCTGAGGCTTTGGCCGATACTGTAGCCATGTCGAAAGCTCTACGAACTACCCAAAGTGCGCTTGAGCGCAGTTTTCTGAAAATAGCCGACACAAACAACATCTTTTCGGATTCGCAGTACGGATATGAGGAGAATGTCCCGTCTTCGTGACCCAGCGGAATACGTCGCGAAAGCAAAACACCGATGGGCTGGCCACATCATGAAAAACTAAACGACAGATGGACACTAAGAACATCTAAGTGGATTCCTCGCAAAGCCAAACGTCCCCGAGGAAGCCCTGCAACGAAGTGGACAGACATGTTCGTGTACGGAATGACCAGTTAAGAAATCAGTTGGATACGATTTTCGCACCTGGAACCGTGGATGCAGCCACCGCCATCAACCAGATAGTGGTTGTAGCGGGGTATTGAGATAAGCGGGATGTGCTGGGGCCCGCACGTCACATGAAACCGGGCCATCTAAGTATCTAGGTAAGTAAATTACTTGTTGAGCAGTCTCAATACGCATGAATTCAAAAATAATACTGCTAAGGCTAAAAATTCACAAGGGAAGGAAGGTTGGTTGAAGTGGCCTTTTGAAATAAGATGTATACTGCATTGTAGGGCTTTGTACGTTAACCGCCTTGTGGCGCAGGCTTCTGGGCGAAAAATGTGGATGTTTTTGGGAGCCAAAAGCAAGCGGTTGCACACAAATACGAAGCACTACATTGTCTGCCTGTTGGTGGAGGTCAATGTGAAGGTTTGTAAAGCGGATGCTCCCAGACGCGAGTCCCATGATGTGTTTTTTTTTGCCATTTTGCGAGGAGTCAGTTTGAGTTTGTGCAAACGCAAGCTTTTTCTTCACACAATTTTGCAACGCTTCAACTGTAATTTTGAACTGATTATCTAGAGTTCACGATTATTCAAGTGGGTGATGTAACAGGGGTAAGAGGTGCAACAAAAAATCATTTTGACATGTATAATCTTGAAAACTTGAAGACTACCTTGATGCACATCCAGCAAATTCGAGATAAAACCTTGTGCAGTAGTGGTTTTTCATTAGCAATTGAATGTGATCAACTCAGCTTGTGCCAAAGTACTCCTCAATTGCCACTTCGAGATTGTAAAAAGTTCCTTTGCTTTGCACACTTTCTCCACTTCTCATAAAGTTTTAACCGCTTATTTCCACAACATAATTGAGAGTTAGTTTCTACACAAAACAACCTCCAAGAAGTGAATGCAATGAAAGAAGCGGAAGATTACGTACAGACAAAGCTCGCGTTTGCACGAACTGTTTGCAAAAAAACGAAACAGCAACGGAGGGCCAGAATCCGGGGTCTTCTGCTTCAGAGGTTGTCACACTAGCCATCATACCAGAATTGAGTAATTCTAATTTTTTTGTGTAGATCGATTTGCGCCACTCCTTTTCATTACACGTTTCTTGAAATTATATGCTTTCCTTGTCGTCTTCATCAACATTCAGTAAACTTGAACTGTGATCAGAGAAAGCGAATGAGAGGGGAAACGTATCTCAACATTTGACAGTCAAGTGCTTATGATGCAGTCTGCCAGCAAACTTACCTGTTCAGAAGCCTTAGCAAAAAAAATTTTCAAAAAATAACTTGTAGTATCTAGTTTTCCCACTCTTTCTATCCAGGGCCTGGCGCGAGGTCGGCAAATGACAAGCTGGAAATCGTTTTGGGGCCAAAAAGCAAAGGGGATACCGTTTTTGCGGGATCCGGGCGGAGCCCCGGAAGAAAATTCCAAGTGCAAGCAAAAGAAGGTCTAATCATGCTTACCTTCTATCATCGGCTCCCAGATTCGTGTGGAGGTAGAGTCTTGCCAACCGCGTGGTGGTTTTTGCTAGCGAGAGATTACGAAAAGCAATGTTATGACGTGGAGGTTTAGCAAGTTTACATGTGTTATCAGGCAAAGTCTGCAATACACCTCCACACGAATCTGGGAGCCGATCATACATCTAATTCATCGGAACAAGTTTTCATAACCCTCAACGCACAGCAGACTTCGCGCGCACTACGCCCCGTTGCCGCTAATGGCCGCGTGCGCGACGTCGCATGAGCGATGCCGTTGAACAGCATGATTACATGATCAGTTCTCAATGCAGGCGTAATGATATAGCACCAAATTACGTAAGCGAACAAAGAGAGGCTAGTAGAAACAAAGCATGAAATATTATGAAAAACTTATGTGAATGGGAGGTGTAACAAGCATTTTTTCCAAAAATTTTGCAAAACTGGTAAATGAAGATGTGAATTCAAATGGCTCGTTTGCAGCGCACAGACGACCATATGGTATCTTGGTAGGTACATGAACACGGGCCTGCAGGGCTTATCTTAGAAGC